TCTCATCTCATCTCATCTCATCTCATCTCATCTCATCTCATCTCATCTCATCTCATCTCATTTCTTCTCTACTCATTACTTTTTATATAATCTTATCTTATCTCATCTCTTCTCATTTCGTTACATCTCATCTTACCTCATCTAATTCTCTCGTTCTTTTTTGTTACAATACCTTCATTTCTGATTATTTTCTTCAATCTCATCCTCTTTTCGTCCGAATCTAAGTAGGATTTCTCGACCTACTGCTTACACCGTCCTTCCTAATCAAATCATATGACTTTTGGTGACCAAAGTCTGCTGTCTTCTCCTGGTAAATGCATTATCATGAAGGTTAATTCCCTTAAACAAAGTTTATAGAGGTGGAATCCTTTGTTTTCATTATTTTTCGAAGCATTTGTAAGATTTGTTGTTATCAAGCTATTGGAAGAAACTGCAGTCTAATGTGGAGGTCAACAGAAAATTCCTCGCAACGTTAAGACTTCTACTAAATTTATCTCTATCCCTTACATAAAAATCCGATGATAATCAGATGCACTCCATGACTACGTTTCGAGAAATTTCTTTGTGATTTTTTGTGAAAAGTTGAGTTAAAGTTGATCGGAAGTAATTCCTGAATCGGTTCCACCAGAAACCAAAGGAGCAGGATTGCTTTAAAGGAGTGACGACAGTCGGAGAAGACGAAAGCTGGGCATGGATTCTTCAGGGTCGCATGATGATGAGCCGATGGCATCTTTGCACAATCTAACATTCTGCACTACTCCAAGTCAATCTTGCTGCTTCGGATTCCGGTGAGACCAATCCACGAATTCCTTTTAACCAGTTTTTCCCTCCGAATGAAAAGTTATATCACCAACCAGTAGGTGTATTGTCACATAAGCAGATTCCCTTTGACAACAGACCGTGCGAAAATCGAAAAGTGAGCCCCAACGTTTACACTCGTTCAGTGAAGAGAATACAGTCAAGCATCTGACCCTCCCAGCACGAGTCGTTGCAACGAAAGTGTGGAATCAAAATGACAGACTCCAGGTCAACGAAATGATGATACCCGTCCACTTGACGAGCCAGGATGTTGACGAAGTTATGCGTCGCCATGGCAAGTGTAGCTACCGATACCGATGAAAGAGAGGTGGCAAATTTGTCTCCCCGTTAGACAGTGTTGTGAAGTCGGCCTGTCATTCGCGGTCTGGTGGGGCCAGAAATGCTGGTTGTGCGGGCGAGGGAAGATGTCCCGCTGTGTTTGAGCAGAGGTTGGACAAAAGGAGGTGGTATCACCCCCAGACCGACCAGCTCCAGGCCAGGTTGGAGGTGTTCGGCTTCGGTTACCAGCGCGCCAGGGTTGCCCTCGTGATGGGTTTATACACGCATTCTTGTTCGCATTCCGGCGCCTCGGAAACACCTGACCCATCCACGCCACTTTCGCCATTTGTCCTACATTTCCGAAAG